CCCCCCCCAGCTGCAGGGTCACCCGCTCACCCCCAGGGAGCTTGTCACAGGGGCACGGGGGGGGGGGCCCTGCCCCCCCCTCCCCCCCCGGGTTTGGGGGGAGCCTCAGGGACTACAGCGAGGGGGGGGGGCAGGAGGGCCGGGGCCCCCCCAGCCATGCCCCGACTTGCCTCCTTGTATTGTCTCTTCCCAGAACAAAGGTCCCTCTCCTGGGATCTTGGCCTGGTGCTGGGGGCGGTGGTGGTGCAGGGAGCAGGGCGGGGGGACACATGCGAGGGAGCAGGACACTGCTGGGGGGGACGACAGTATGTGGCCAGGGTCCCCCCCCACTTCACCAGCCCCACAGAGCAGACCCTGATAAACCTCATCCAACACAAACCCCAGGGCTGAGCCCGATATCCAGCATTAATATTTGAAGGGCTAATTACAAGGCATGTGCGAGGAATGCTAATTGGGATTGGGGGGGGGCAGGCGGGGGGGGGCCCGTTTCTCCCCAGCTCTCAGAACTGCCCCACAAGCCTCTGGCCCTGCAGCCCACGCCAGAAAGCCATTGTCAGTGGGTTAATTAGCGAGAAGCTGCTAATTACAGATGGGTGCCTTGATAAGGAGGAAGTTAAGAGCAGGTGGACACTCCAGGGTGGGTCAGCCCTTCTGAGGGGTGCGTGGACCCCTGTCGTTGGGGTGGGGGGTCCTTGTAGCTGCCCCTGCCAGACTCACTGCCCGTGTACACACACCTTGGGGACGAACCGCTAGTCTGGAAGATGAAGAGGCAACTGGCTCTGACACATCCAATTTATTACCAGGTTGTGGCTGCCGGGGAGCCGAGCAAACCCGATTGCTCTCCGAACGGCAGGGAAAGATTTGTCACCAACTGCCGGGGAGGGCTGGGGCACGGGAGGACTTGGGCAGGGGAAGGAGGCTGGTGACAGCCCAGCCAGGACAGCCCCGTCCCCGCAGCACGGGGCTAGACGAGTCCCCCAGGGTCTGTGCTGCAGAATGCGTCGCCTCTAACGGCAAAACAACAGGGGATTCGGGCTCGCCCCACAAAGGCGGGATCTGAGCCCCACAAGGGGGGTCAGGAGACAGCCAGGGCCAGAGAAGTGGTGGTGGTGATGGGTCCTCCTGCGGCAAAAGAAGGGTGCTGAGCTCCTGCCTTCCCCCTGCTCCCCGCAGGGATGCAGGGCAGGAGGGAAGGAAGGCCCTGAGGTCCCTTCATTGCCCTGGGAGGGTCAGCGCGTCGCATACCCGGGCCCAGGCACGATCAGCGCCACCAGAATAGAGAAACTACAGGGTCCTGGCTGGCCCCGGCGCTTCCAAACACATTACGGGTGCAGGGTTGGGAGACCCATTGTGCTCCCGGGGCCGGGTGGAAGCTGGGTTTGGGCACAACCAGCCTGGGACAGCGTTGGGGCTTTCCACTGGCTGCAGCGCAGCAGCGATACCCTCCTCCGAGGAAACCGTCTTCCCGATCGGCTCACCCGGGTTCTGTCTGCCGGCAGTGTTAGCCAGCAAGGGAAGCTTGGGCCTCGTCCCTGTTGGAGGATGGACACGCACCCCAGGGCGGGCAGGTGAAGACGCTGGGTCTCCAGATGGCCTGGAAACCCCGCTGGGCCCGACGGCTGCGGTGCCAGCTCTGCGTGAGGCTCTGGAGAGCAGCTGCTGTCAGCTGGGAGGGGGGGACAGCCTGCGATCCCTGCTCTGGGCTGGCTCGGTCGCTCATCAGTCACTCGCGCTGTCCTCGCTGTCCGAATACGCCCCCAACAAGCCGAGGGAGGACGTGGTGCCCGTTGCTGTGGGAAACGAGCCTGGAAGCCGAGCAAGAGAGCGGACACCATCAGGTAGAGCCCTCCCCATCGCCGGCAAACCCCACCGGCTTGGCGCAACCAGCAGGGTGGAAACACGAGCCTGCCTTGCCGCTCCGGCTGCTCGCAGCTGGAGATGAGGCAGCCGGAGTCAAGAGTCTGAGCGGTGCCTCGTTCCCCCTGCCTGAATCTCGATGAGGACAGCAAGGTTAAATCGGGCAGAGAAGGAGACCCCGCACTCCCTTGGCTGGTGCATCCTGCTTCCGCCTTGCGGCAACGGGAGGAAGCAGCAAGGTTGGCGCAAGGTCTGCAAAATCCCTTTCTCCCTCTGCAACCCCCTGGGAGATTTCAGCCACTGGAAAGGATGAGAGGAGCCAGCTCCTGGCTCTGACCACTCGAGCCGCAAGTGTGAGGCAGCATCACGGGCAGAGCCCCCAGTCCTTGAAAGACAGGCAGCTCCTCCAGCATAATTTGGCTGAACAGACCCTGCCAGCAACCAGGAGCAGGTGGCTGGGGAAAGCGTATCAAAAATGGGGCAACTACAAGAGCTGTCCTTCCCCAGGGATCCCCTGAGGGCAGAAGGACTTACTAAGCCAAAGGTTTAGGACCAATCAGCCCAGAATCTATCAATTCATTGGCTCCCTTCCCAAATCCGTGGGTCCTCTGGCTTCCTGGGGCAGTGAACAATGAGGTGCTGGAAAGCCTTTCTGCTTGTTTTCACCACTTCTTTAAAGCTTCCACATCCCTACAGTTTGGCAGGTTTTATAATCAGGCTCCAAACCAAAGCAATTTTCTTGCTTTTACATTCATATCTTGTTGTTGTGATGGTTCCCAGCACCTTATCTGTGCATGAGATGCTGTTTTGAAGCTTCTGGCCCTGACAGTCTGTCACCAAGGTCTCGGCTTACTGCCAAGGGCCAGGAAGGAACCTCTCCTCCATCAGGACATCTGGAAACAGGGACAACCCCCTGCTCTTATACCATCATGGCCTCATCTGTCCCACAACAAGGACTTGATCTAAGAGCATTCAGGCTCTGAAGACAGAGCTAAACACCACTTTGGGTACTGCCAGACCCCTCCCTGATGCCCCAGCTCAGGCCACCCCATCCCCACATGGGCAGTTACCGGTGTTGCCCGTGGTGCCTTGGTTCTCTGTACCATTAGCCAGGGCAGGATTTGGCTTCTGCTTCTTCACTGTGACCAGGCCGGCCAGCTGGGACTTGGTGTTCAATTTCCCCACACTCCTCTCCCAGCTCTCCGTCTTCAGCTTCTTACTCTGGGGCTGAGGGTCCTGCAGAGTAGAGCAGGGGTGTTAGGGTGCTCTGGCCTCGGAGGGCAGGCAGAGGGCTGGGGGAAAAGGAGGACTGGTAAAAACAGCAGCACAAAGAGGAAGAGATGAGGATGGCTGCTTGGAGCAGCCAAGGGGGGTATTCTCCCACTGCACCAACTGGCACAAGCTAGACAAACAACAGGGATATGGATCTAAATGGCTGCAAAACAGCCCTTGGAGATGAATGTCCCACTGCCTGTGACAGTTAAATCCAGCGTTGTGCGGCTGCGGGCTGGCCCGGGGATGCTGAAGAGCCAGATGCATGCCACAGGGCTGCACAACCTCTGCCAGCCAGGACTGCGTGCCTGCAGGTGGTCCAGCCACTGAATCAAACTCCCCCAGGCACGAGGATTAGTGCCGGGCCAGGGAACATCGCTCAGATTAACCCCAGCCCGGCTTAGAAACACAGCAGCTTTGATTCATCCAACCGGACAGAGGTCCCCACAGACACGGATCGACATCGGAGAGCAGCAGTGCAGGGGCCTGTCTGTGGGGATAATCCCTCCCTTGCAAGCCGGGCACTGAAAGCTCTTTTGTTCTGCCTGTCTCCAACATGGACAAAACAGAACCAAAGGAGAGACTGTCCCAGGCAGTCGTTTCACTGCTGTAATTTTCAGAGTGCTGAAATCGTGACTGAAGTACGACCGAGGCACAGGCGAGCCTGTCCTTTTCGAGCTGAAAGGGAAGCCATGTCCTGAGCGAGGATGGGGGCAGCTCCCTCCCACCCTTTGTCAGCAGATGCGGTCTAAAATCACCAACTGATCCCTGTCTCCTTTCAGCCCAGTGCACAGCGACACAAGCTTTCCAAGTTGCTCATGTGTGACAGGAATTAGGGCTCCAGCGTCGCACAGAGCAGGGACAAAACAGGCAACATGCAGCCCAGGACAGTGGATTTGGTCGGGGGGAAGAGGTGTGGTGGGTGGAACAGCCTTTGCCCCCACTCACCTCCTGCAAGATGTCCGTAGGTTTAATTTTCGCCGCAGGCTTTGTGCGTGATTTTGCAGGCTCTTCGTCAGAGTCGGAGTCTACCAGCAGCCGCCGGTTCTGAGCCTGCTCCAGCATGGCTCTGCAAGGAGAGAGGCCACATGCAGAGGGTTAGAGCTGGCTCCCTTCCACCACCGTGCCGAGCGGTGCTGGCCGTGCACCGTGCCTGCACTGTTTGCTGTAAGGGGAGCTGGAATTCAGCAGCAGTGCAATAGGATCCACCTTCTCAGATGGTTTTTAAGAAGTCATGGTCAAGCAGTGCCTGAAGGTTGATAGCAATGAGATCTGCAGCCTCAGCCAGGTGCAGAAACTCTCTCTCCACGCAAGGACACTTCTCAGGGGGAGTCAGGCCCCTGCAGCAGCCTGGATCTCCCCACCAGATGGGCTGGTGATACCAAAACCCCTCCACCTCCACCTCCCTAAACACTTTGCCACAACAAACTGTCCCCAGTCTCCTTACAGCCCGCTCAGGATTACATCCCACCCACACAACTCCTGTGAACAAAGGGCCCTCAGGCAGGGCCCTCTCTTATGCGCCCTCAGGGTGCTGAGGAAAGGGTGAGACGCAGCCCTGCCTGGCCAGGACCAGCGTGGCTGGTTTCACATGCCCATGAATGCTTCCAGCCCGCTCACTTCATCTCTTGCTCATCCTCCTCTTGCTCCTTGCGCTTCTGCTCCTCCTCGTACTCCTTGTACTGCTTCAGCATGGCCTCAAAGTCCACATTTGCCTGGCGCTGGTTGAGTTCCTTCAGCTCCTGCAGGTTCTCCAGAACCTCCATCTCCAGCTTGGAGTCCTTGGTTCGGTTCTCCAGGACCTGGGTGACCAGAGATAAGTCAGCCTCATGCGAGGTAGCAGAGCTTGCCAGCAATCTCCAACAACTGCCTCCCCACCCAGTACTGGGCAGGAAGCTTTAAGGGGATCATCATCATCCTCCTCATTTTTGGGTCTTAATAGGACAGGAAAAACTGGGGCAGGATGCAGCCTGTCACAAGTTCCAGCACAGGAGAAAACCTCCTGAGAGCAGAGAGTTGTCTCCTGCCTGTCAAGAGTACAGCAATACCTCGGGAGCCTGGAGAACTAAGCCAACAGCTACGAAGTCACCTGCTTCGCTGGGGAAAGCCAGCCAGGACAGGAGAGAGGTTTGCCTTCTGCAGAGAAGGTCACGTTCTCATACCTTCATGGGATTGTTGAGCTCTTCCTCTTCCCTCTCCTTCTGCATTCTTTTCTCCTCTTCCTCCAAGAGCTTCTCAGCTTGGAAGTTGCGAGTGGCGCCATGCTCCATGGTGTAGTCTGTGTTCTCGGGATCTGTCTAAGGAAGAAACGAGACAGCAAAATCATTGTACTGGCGCCATTCTGCTCCAGCCATCCTGTGGCCACTTCCAGAGCCACACACAAATGCTTCCCAATTTCATTCACATCACAGGGCACACAATCACCCGCGGCCTTTGTTCTTCTCCAGCGGATGTGCTGCTGCAGCCCACCCACAGATGGGTGAGACGCTTCAGAACTAAAAACGGCCACAATAAGAGAAGATACACCAAAAAGCACATGCTCAGACTCAGCTTTTGCTGGGACACCCCTTCGTCATGGGGTCAGCACCTGGTAAAGCCCACAGACTGCAGAACCTCCCCAGAAAGCGAAAGTGCAGAAGATACAGAACATATTTCACCTTGAAAGTGATCTCTGCCAGGCAACGTGTGCACTTGATGTAGAAGCGGAAGATGGGAAGTCCCAGGTACACCTCATTCTGAACAGTCTCCTTACGGGCATTAAACTTCTTCCCTTTATAGATGTATTCACCACATGTCTTGCATCTAGAAAAGGAGAAAGAAAAATCCGTAACACATCAAAAGAACAAAGAGGCCAAAAAATGTCCAAGTGATTTTTCAGATTCTGAGCAACTGTTATTTTCATCTTTGGAAATTCAGTACCTACTCTTCAAAGAACCCCAAAATCACCCACAGCATCTCTTCCCTCTCCCTCACCCCTTTTCTTCTGGTCTGTGTCACCTCTAACGGCTGCTGGCAGCAGCTCCGCTGCAGCGCATGGAGGTGAAACAATTCCTAAACAAACTCTTCTCTTCTACAGCTTCTTCCTTCTGACCATCACAGCCCCTCTTACCGCATGTTGAAGGGGGCCATCAGCCGCACCACATACTGTCGGTCCTTTGGGAGTTTGAGCTTTGGGATCTTAGCAGGATCGAAGTCTGGCGGGTAGTATTTCTACAGAGACAAAGCAGAGACGCGTGTGTGCTGGGCGCAGAGTCACCCAGAGCAGTGTGAACCCCGGCAGGCAGGCTCCCAGCTGCCACATCAGCCTAAGGGATCAGCTCCACGCAGCAGGAGCCAGCGTCCCTACTAGCCAGGCGTGGTCTCAAGTGCCAAACACCCCGTCCACCACTCCCCGCCAGAGCCAGGCATTGGTATCTGTCTGTCTGTACGTCCTCGGCCCCAGGCCCCCCAACCCTTGCATGATTTTAGGGCCTAACCCTCTTGCCCCTGCCAGCCCCCCTGCCAAGCGCTTCCAGGGGCCCCAGCCTGGGGATCCCCACCCCAACCGCCCCCCTCCCAGCCTGAGAGTCCCCTCAGGGACTCCTCTCCACCACAGGACCCCCCCAACCGACCAGGGACTCCCCAGCACCTCCGGCCTGGGACCAACCTCAGCGATCAGAGAACCCTCCCCAGGACCAGCCCGGCCTGGGGACCCGCACAGACACCTCCCTCAAGCCCCCCCAGCCGGGGAATCCCCCCCCCAACTCACGTTCAACACCTTCCGCTCCGACATGGCTGCGACACCCCCTCAGCCACCGGTGCCACCCAGCACCTGCCCCCCGCACCGCTTGCCACTTCCGGGAAAACAGCCTTCCCCGCCCCCCTTCCACCTCTGATTGGTGCAGCGAGCCGCCGCTCGGCGGCTTGTCTCTGTTACTGGCTGCCTCTGCTGTCTGTCAGCTAGCTCCGCCCACCGCCGCGCTGTGGCACCGGCAAGAGTCCGCCAGTACACCGCGGCCCGATAAAAGGTTCCGCCGGCTCTGCCAGGTCCCGGGGGGCGGCTGTGCCCCGGCTGGGGCTGAGGGAGCCCGGGGCAGAGCGGGGGCTGCGAGCGGTGGGGAGCTGGAGCTCGGCTTCCTCAGAGAGAAGCGCGGTGTGGGCCCCGGGCAGGCCCTGCGCGGCAATGACAGATGTTCATCCTGTGGGTAACGGGCTAAAAAAAGTCTGTTTTGTGTGAGAAATCTTCCCCCAGCTGCAGTATTCGACCTTTGGTCTGTGAGGCATTTTCTGGACAGTCTTTGGGGTAGGAAAAAATTAAGTTACTTGTCCCTAACACAGATATATTGGTGCTTTCCGTGTTGCGGGTAGGAGAGCTTTCTGGTGAGTGATCTGCTGCGCTTCCAAACGAAGGGGAAACTCTTCTGCTTCTCTTTACTGTTTTCCTGCGCGTGTGTGCTTTGGTGTTCCTTGCTTAAAACAGAAGGTTCAGAGTCCTTCGCTTATGGTTTATTGTTTTGAGTTTGCAGCTGATGGTTTCTTACTGAGGGGTTATAGTTTATTACTGTATTTTGTAAAAAATGAGGTGCAAGCTGTGAAAATTTCTTGCAGGGCTCTGTTCTGGAGGTTGGGAAGAAGTAGAGATGGGTGAAATCAGGGTTTTTCCTCCCAAATATCAGTGCTGAATCCCATCCCTGAAGGAAAAAAAGAGGAGGGAGGCTGGCAGCTCCTTAGTTTCTTGCCAGATCACGGCAGGAGCAGGAGCTGACCTTTCCCTGCTGGGCTAATGGACGTTGATCCAGTAATGGCTCCCTGGGTGACATGGGGTACATATGGCACTGAGCCGGGTGATAGACTCACTCCCGGGTGTCGTGTGTATGCATTAATTAATAAACAATTGTTATATTCATTCAACTCACGTCCCTGTACCTTTGCACTCAGTACAAAGTGCCTCGATGGGGTGCCCTGGGGAGGGGGTTACCCATTGTGGGGCTCCCGGAGCACCCCAAGGCTCCTCAGCCTGCCGGGATGGCCCTGGGGCCATTGGTGGGGCCGCAGGGGAGGTCCTGGCCGCAGCCAGGGCCCCTCCAGACCCTCTGGATATTGGGGTGATGGCAGAGGGGTGCCTGGGCTGGAGGATCGGCCTCTCCCAGGTGATACCCCCCAGCTCCAGTGCATGCCCTGGCCCCCTGGGAGATGCAGTTGGCCGGTTGGCTGTTTTGCCCTCCAGGACACACCAGGAGAGGGAATGCTGCGGCACGGGGCTGCCGGGAGGCCACAGGGCTCTGCCGGGAGAAGTTGTCTCTGCCTTGGACTTCACTTGTTCTCTCACAACTCCTCCTGAAGCCCCTGTTGGTTCTCTGAGCCGCCTTTTACCCCCTGGCCCTCTCAGGGCTTCCCTAGACCCACCATAATGCCAGCTGAGATCCTCCTAGTGCCCCACCGCCCTCCGACAGCCCCTTGGGACCCCTCTGGTCCCCTCACAACCCTTCTCCACATCCCAGAAGAGTCTTTTTCCTCTCTGTGCCACCCAGGGCACCTCCGAGTCCCTCTGTACTCTCCTCACAGTGTCCCCAAACCTCCTTGTGCCCCCGTGGCATCCTTTGAGGCCCCTCACAACCCGCTCTCAGGCTCTCCTCATGCCCCAGAGCACTGTCTGCCCTGCCCGGGACCCCCATTTTGGGGTTTGAGCCCCCCTTCCTCCCCCAGGACCTCTGTGCTGCACACACAGAAGCTGCCTGGAGGTACGAGGTTGAGTTTGGGATCATGGAATGGGAGACTGAGAGTTTTGAAGACAGGAAAGGGGCCCTGCGGGCACAGTCCTGCCATCTCGGTGCGAGGCGACACTTGTCATGAACTGGAGATGGCCGCTGAAACTCGGTGAGGGAAAAACCAGGGAATCGGTGAGGGCAGCAGCTTGAGCGGAGGAGCGTGCGTGTGAAGCGATCCAAGAGCTGTAATCCCGTCAAAGATCCAAGAGCTCTAATCCTGTCAAAGGTCCCTACGTAAGCCTGATAACCGTTATGAGTACCAGCAAGATCCCCCGAGTTAGCT